TACAAGTATGAGTAAAATCAACAACTAATTCAAATGGTTTTGCTTGAAAAGGTTTTAATGTTAATAATACATGATAGATTAATAAATCACAATTCATTTCATTTACTTTAAAACGACGAGCTATATAATAAAATACCGGATTATTTTGTTTACTAAAACCAGCCTAAAAATAAAATTACAAAACAAAATAAAGATTTTTATTTTATTCAAATTAAATGTATTTTAAAAGCAAATTATTTATAGAATAAACGAAAGATTCAAAGATTCTAAACATAACTATATAGACAACTTCATTTATTAGCAATGTGATCATGTAAAATAAAAATTTTTTCATCTTTGGACTCCGACATTTCCTTTTAGATAATTTTTATCTAATAGATTTATGTTGACCTATCGTAGACCTGCAAGTTCAAACAGTATTTTTTGAAACTAAGTCATGTGTTTTGTAAAGGATTCTTTAGGTTATAAAATCTCTACGAAAAGTTTTTCCTCATCACATATAATAGTTTTTCAAGAAAAAAAAGTTTATTCGTTGTTAGCGACGTGAGTGAGTACGAATATGGAAAAGAAAAATCTTCTTGTATCTGAACAAGAAGTTCAAAAACCAATTTCAAATAGTACGAAACCTTCTTGTAAATCGCAGAATGATTGGAAAACAACAAAAATCACGTTTTGTGACAAGATCGAATATCAGGAAAACTGGTTTTTCCGAGACAATGCTTTTTAGTACGATCTTGCTGAAAATTTCAATATAAACAAAATTTATTGCCTGGAGTTTATTTTAAAACTCTTTGACTTTATCGTCATGAGGTTAAAGAGTTATTTGTTAATTACATTTTAATTAATTAGCTAATTAAGTTAAATTGGATGTGAACTGAAAGAGACAATATTTACATAATTATATATTCATTGAAAAAGAACTTGTTGAAAAAAATATCGTTTATAAAGAATGAAAGTTAAAAGCGAAAATGGTCATGTTTCATTTTTTTTCTGATTTTGGCCCATTTATATTCAGTAATTGTCAAATCAAAGAATATTATTCTCAAAATTAAATTCTTTTAGTTAAATCTCATAGTATTCAATTTAATTTTATATTGGAAAAAAATTCGATTCGAGAAGAAAAAAAATATTTTTCATGAGTTTTAGAATGATCGATTGATTTAATAATCAACTCGAGATAATGTCTCAAATGAATTTCATCAATCTTTTTGTCACGATACAAAACCAAATATTTCTTTACAATTATTTTGCCCGATTAATAAGCATTACAACGTTTTGATTTACATCGTAATAGTCAAAACCAAAATAACAATTTTCTCATGATTTTCAAGTGAATTAATGTATTCTGATCTTGGTTGCAATTAAAAAGAGATTCAATGCTGATTTCACACTTGCATTAGAAGTCTATCAATTAATTAATCACTTTTGAGCCGTGACTGTGTGCATCGTGTAGCATCTAAGGAATTCTTAATACCTTGGAAAATACGTCTAGTCTATAGCCGATTTTTGACAATATACTATATTGTTACAGTCTTATTTAGCAGAATGTCGTGTTCCTACGTAGTTTTCAAACTTCGATATGAAATTTTGCACATTTAAAAGTACAAAATTCCAAGTTAAAATTCGAAAGTGAGCTTTCCTGAATGAGACTATTCCATTCTACTAAAGAATACCGTAAAAACATAATATATAAGTTGCAATAAACAAAAGACGCTAACTCTTTTCAGAGAATTTATAACTCATTTAGTTCTATCTGACGCACATAGTCTAGATTCAAATGCAATTAACACGTTGGGAGACTTTGTTCGTTAACAAAACTTTTCGTTTGCATAAAACTTTCAATAATTCTTTCTCATTATCATTAAGTTCAAAACAGCTATTAATAGTTGTTCATATTCTTATTGATAAATCTTCAATTCAAGACAAACAAGATAAATTATTTTATCTTTGAGATCAAGATTACTTTGCTCATTTTTAAGATAAATATATTTCATTAATTTTATAACTTTAAAATATGTAATAGAATTTCAAATAAAAATGAATTCTTTGAACTAATTCGTAAATTTTAAAAAGAAAACTAACTTGATAAAATATATTAAGAGCTTTTAATGATTTGAATTCTTCTCTTTCGTGCATTTGTGTTTTTGCCATAAGTTCTTCAAATTTTGTTGCTGTCATATCATATGAAATCCATTGTGAATCTAATGGTCTATGATCTGGTGGTCCTAAATAAGCTAATAATGTTGCCATTTTATCAAAAGGTCTTCGTCCAATAGCTTTATGATCTCTTCCACTTGATAAATAATCTCCAATTTTTTCTTGATGATACCATAAAAGTCTATGTAATGCTAAAACATTAGCATCACTTATATAAGACATTGGATATGTTGGTGAAAGTGTTGTTGAATCCGATATATTATTTTCAATTGGTTGTTGTTCATCTGATGGAATAATTGTATTTAAATTAATTGGTTCACTTATTGATAAAACAAAATTTGTTGCTGAATCAAATGTTGAACGAAGATAATCATTAAAACAACGCATATGAAATTCTTTTGTAAATATTAAATTATTTGCTATATTTTGAAGAATTTTTGATACAAGTGTTAAACCACGTTTTATACGTGGTAATGGTTCAGCATCAACTATACCAAATTCATGTGGAAGAACAAGAGCTGGATTTAAAAAACGAAGAAATATTACAGTTGATACAGC